TTAAGGGACCTTGAAATACAACTTATCTGGAGGACACCAGATTGAAGAAAGTAACTATAAAAATCTTTCCAATTCTTAAACAATAATCAACATCTTAGTATGAATCTATTAAAAACTCCATGCTCTTGATGCATGGCCTGTTCACTCTGCCTTCCAGTTTGACACTCTCATCTTTTGGTCTTTCCCACCCAACCAGAAGCAGCCTACTCTTTGGAAATTTCTACAGTGATCGTTAGAAAGCACTTCTAAATATTGTATAAGGTGGGAATTGCACACAGCATTGGAAACGTGGATGGACTAATTCACATTTTATTCTTCTCTTCCTCCAAAGAGGCTGTATTTCATGACCTGCAAGGCACCCCTGCAATGTCACTGAGTTTAGCATTTTAGGTCCCTATTATGCCAAAGAGCTACTTAAGATACTTGTGCAATTATCCTGATCTTGGTAGCTATTGTATTCATTTTTCTATTAACCTGTGTTCTGAAGACTTAAAGTGTCAATTCATAAGCATTTATCCCCAGTACCTCCTGGCTGAAAGACAAAGCCAGTGAAGGGGGAAAGAGAGAGAGGGAGGGAGGGAAGGAGAAAGGATAAGGAAGGCTGGCATAATTGCTTTGCCAAAAAAATGCAAGCTTTTTTTTTATTATCTACTGTTCAGCAGTCTCCTTCCTACCAGTCCCCAAGGGGAAATGTGGCTTCTTCATCTGAAAGGATGGTCAAGCTGTCATTGGATTACAGGGTTTCTTTTTCACCCTCTGCCCCCTCCATCTATTTCTCACTAGCCAGTTTGAAGAATTTATACTGGACTGAACCGATCCTTTTTAGACCATTACTTATTTGGAGATCAGCAATCAGCATTTGAAGGGTAGCTATAAATCTCATTCCATTTAAACAGAAAACAAAAACAAAAATACCCTTGGTCAGCAGAATTTGCTGGTGATATGCTAACAAGACCCTTTTGAAATATAAGATAAACTGTTTTCCTTCCTGGCATCCTGAACAATAAACTTTCCATTCATCTGCAGATGTCATCTGATATAACTCAGGTTGTTCATCTTGTCATCATACCCAGATTGCTATACAGAACCAGGTAATAACTGCTTTATGCATCTTTATTATGTATAATCTTACTGACCAAGCTTTTCCCACTTTTTTTTTGTTTTAAAATTGAGAGATTGTTCTACAAAAAGAAGTGGCACCAGATGGATTGTGCCTCTATGCTCACATGGAGAATAATCTCTAACCCTATGTCTGAATATTTCGCCATAATAAACAAACCAATAAGCATGTAGCTTTTTACTCCATTAGTTATTTATTTTATCATATTTGTTAAATTTATTTGCCACCTATCTCACTGTGTGCACTACTCTAGGTGGCTTACAGTAATAAAAAGAAAAGAAAATGAAAGGAAGGTAAATAGAACAGAAGTAAAACAATAGAACAATAAAATAAAGAGTGAAAAAGAAGACACCGAGAATACATCAATATGATAACCAAAAAGATGGGCAGGTGGACAGCAGAGCACAAGGGAGTTATGTAGTATTAAATATGGGTCTGCTTTAATAAAACAATATGGGTCACAGAATCAATAAGACTTACATCACCAAAGCAAAGAGGCTACTCACTGCAACAGTTTTGATGGACTTGAATTTATTTGGGCCAGTGCTACTAGAAGAGGTTCTCATCAACCTTCAGACAGTGACAAGTTCTTGCAGGATGGGCAGATACTTCGGCATAATTAGAGAATTCTCAGTCATCCAGGTCATGGTTGTCCCAAAGGAGCTTTTTCAAGAGGCAACTGGACTTTCTGGTTTTTTCTTTGAAGATGTTTCACTTCTCATCCAAGAAGCTTCTTTAGCTCTGACTGGATGGTGGGGAATGGAAGGATTTATACTCCTTGCAGACAGCTGGTAATTTGCATTCTTTTAGTGGGTCATTAAGGTCACCTGGAGGTTTATCTATGTCATCAAGGTCACCTGAGTGGTGCAAATTGGTGTGGACCGTTCTTGGAACTCTTGAAAGGATTGTATTGTAAATTGGAGATAGATGATGTCACATCCCTCTCCCACTGTTGAGAGAGGGCTGCTCAGTTTTAACATAGATGGCCTCTTTAACCCCTCTTTCAAATCAGTGATCCTCTCTGTCCAAAATATATGGAGACTTTGTTGTGTTCAAAAGAGTGGCCTGTGCCTTTTAAATGCAGACCAACTGCTGAATCTAGTCCTGATGTGTTTCTTCTCCTATGTTGTGCCATGCATTTATGAAGTGAAAGTCCAGTTGCCTCTTGAAAAAGTACCTTTGGGATAATCAGAGAGGCTTCCAAATTGACCACCTCTAATACAGCTGTCCCCAATCATTATGGCTCTGCAAACAGGCAGCATTGGCAGGGAGGGGGCACGGTTTCACACACATATGTGCTGCTTGCACAAATGTAGCTCTGCACGTTCACCCACCCCTGGCAATTCCCAGAGCTGGGAAGATTGGGGACCTAAACCATTAAACTATCCTTTCTTCACATATTGAGTATCTGGAGCTACACATCTCATCAAGCCAAAATCAAACATTATGACATTATAAGTATTAAAGAATCTTATAGTATTATAAGAATCTGATCTAAATCAGTGAAATCAGTGTAGTTGCATTAAAATACTTTGAAAATATCTGAATCCAATGAATTCTGCATATGCTATAGGTACTTCAGGCAGCATGAGAAAAATAATCAGAGACTATGTAGATAAGAGACTATTGTATGATAGTAGTAACTAGGATGTATACTATGATGTAAAATGAGGGATTTAATATAACTAGTACAAGGACATTGTAAAATTGGAGCTGTGATGGAATATAATGGAAAATGTAATAAAATATTTAAAAAATAATAATAATCAGAGACTTATGTATAAAGGATAATTCATATGTAGGTCTAAGTAAAGTAAATAAATGATTTATATTGTAAGCCTCTCAGAGTTATCTTGTGGTAAAATGGGCAGCTAATAAATTTTACAAATAAATAAATAAATAATAAATGTCTATATCTGAAGAGAAATAGTTTTTACTGTAATTTGCACATAAGACTTCATTGTGTCCCTTGTGAACACATAATAAGCATTGGAAAATTCCCTAAATTTGCACTGTTTTCATTTTTTTTTTTCTTATAGAAACATTGTACCTGGAAATTTATTTCCTAACTAATTATATAGCACTTAAAAAACCCCTGGTATGAGTTAGAGAGGTGCACCCAATGAACACGTGGTTGTGATTTTACCCTATGTGAGCTAATGAGACACTTAACTCCTAGGCCTCTTTTCCTGGCTTTGATCCTAAACAAATGGTTACTTGTTGGCAGTCATCCAACAACACTTCTAATAAATTCACACTCAGGTTTTCATTTTATTCCCATGTCCAGCTCATCAGTTTTCATTTGGGGCTAATGCACTAGAGATTGGAATGCCCACAAATGGCAGCAGGCACTCCAAAAATGTTAAGTGTTATAGGGAAGAATTTCAGGTCGAGAAATGTTCAATAGAAATTTTTACCTAGGTAGAGAACAGTGCTGCCATAATAGAGAGTTGTAACTATTTAATCAATCAGAACATATTGCATCTTTTTGTGTAACTCCATGTAATTCTCCTTACATAGGGAACAATGGAAAATTGGCATATTTGATCATGGCTATTCTAGAATTTATGAACTGTTCCACTTAATCTTTATATTAGTTAGTTACTAAACCTCCACAAAAGGGATGAACTTTGGACTCAGAATTTTTCAGAAAATCACAGGAGCTCCAAATCCAATCTGTTTTCCATTGATGTCTCTTTTCAATACAACTGAACATATCGGTAATTTTTGAGTATTATACAAATTGATATCTATGTTTCTACTGAAAACAAATTGTGGCAGATTTTGTAAATACAGGTAGTCCTCAACTTACTGTTAGGAATAACAAGGTTACCTAACGTAGTTTGGGTAAAATAATAT